CCCTCTGCCCTGCTCAGTTCCAGGTCTACCGCATCCAGGACAGACGGCGGCTCGCTGCTCTGACCCACATCTCGTCCGAGGCCGAGAGGGCGCGACCGGAGCAGAGCTGAGCCGGCTCACACGCGCACGCCAGACCCCACAGACCGGCGCCCCCACATCCGCCTTTGCCGCCTGGCTCGCAGAAGCGGTGCTGGGAACCCAGGGGCTCTTGCTGCGCGGTGCACAGGCGGGAAGAAGCAATGGGGACGGAGCTGACGTAAGCGGGGCTGGAGGCTGGGAGTTGACGCTGGCCTGTCACCTGAACAATGGCCCCTGGAGCCTAACCCCTTTTCTATGCTCTGCCTTTGAGTCACTGGGCGAAGGGACGCGGGACGTGCTCTCTGTACCACTTCCGTGAGGCGGCGTGGCCACACGCCCGCTGTGCCAGGCCACAGGCCCCATTTATTAACGTGGTGGGAGCTGTTCCAGGGCATGCCCTTGCACCAGTGAATTTACACACGTACATCGCACATGGCTCTGCATGGGGGAGCGAGGCTGCCGAGGGCACTTCCAGCATCCTGCTTTGGTGGGGGGGGGCCACTGGGAGCAGGCGGCCGTGCTCATGCTGAACGGACGACACGGCAGGGGTGGGGTGGAGGAGGAGCATGGCTCCTCGGGCCTGTGAGGCAGCGTGCAGCTGGTGTGCTGGAGGCAGGTGTGACCAGACAGGCACCGAGGGCGAGGCCAAGCACCAGCCAGCCCGTGGCACTCAGCCCCCGCCTGCTGAATTAACAGAGGCAGGGTGGGAAGGGGGGAGCAGTCATGGCCGTGGGAGCAGGGCTGCGGCTTGGGGCTTGCCTCTTCGGCCTTGCGGCAGTGGCTAGGCAGGAGCCCCGGCTGGGCGCCCCTCAGCTCCACTCCCACTGATGCAGGTTGCCCTCTGCTCCCGGGTCCTCCCCATCCCGTTGCCTTGTTCTCCTGAGCACAGGCCTCGCCTGCAGGCCGCTGATCAAGTCCTGGAAGGGGAGGGTGGGCTCGCAGGACACTGCTTCTCAGGAGCACCGCCAGCTTTGGATCCGAGGGAAGCTCAGGCAGAACTAGTGTCCATACGAGCTGGGCCGTGTCCTACCTCCCGTGCTGAGCTGTCTCTCCCACTGCCCTGAGCACCCTCTGGTCAGCCAGCCAGAAAGCAAAGCCTCTGCATAGCCCTGTGCAGATCCGCGTGGCACTGCAAAGGGAGCCTGGCTCCTGGGGTGCGGCAGGCTTCATGGTTCCTGTAGGGTGCTGCCGCTGGCCCAGCACCCCCTGGATTTCACGGGTACAAGAGGGGAGGGAAGTGTGGGCAGTGTCCCCACTGCAGCCTCCAGCCTGAGTTCGAGAGAAGACAGTGGCAGGAGCAAGGCCTGAAACGGTCCCTCTGGGCTGAGTCTGCTGCCGCCCCAGGAGCAGCTCACAGCTTGTTCTTGTGGCAGTGCTGCAAGGCATCTTTCAGGGCATGGAGGACTCGGTCCACGTTGAACTTGGTGGAGTTATAGCCCATGAGTCCTATTCGAAGAACCTGGAATTGAGAGAGACCCAGGAGAGGGCAGTAAATCTGAATGAGATCAACTTGTTTCCCCGGGGTCGGCCCAGGGACATGTTGCATTGCCCGTCGCATGGGGTGCCAGGCTCCTGGGACGGTGAGAACCAGGCACTCAGCCGCCTGGGGCTTCCCACACGCTGCCATACACTGGCCGGATTCTCCAGCGCCCGGCCCCACGTACGCCCACGTATGCCTAAGGGGGTCAAAGGCAGCAAATCTGAAGGGTGCCACGTTCTGCAGAGCCGCCCTGCAGTCGTGCCAGCTGCAGAAGGTGCAGGGGGCGGGCGGGGGAATTGCTTTCCTTAGTACAGCAGGGGCCCTGCTTTAGCCCTGCTGGCCAGTCTGCCCCAGAGAAGCACGAAGGAGCAGACTTGTGGCCGAGCGCCCCCCAGGGCGATCACCTACGGCTAGTGACAATAAATGACTCAAGATGAAAAACTAAAACAAAGCTTGTTTGTAAGGGGCTGCGCCTGCGAGGCTTTATTCGTCCCTTCTGTCCTGGAGAAGAGCCCCTCGCCTACTGCCTTGCCCTGCTCCAGTTCCCATTGAAAGCACTGGGGCACGTCTCCACTAAGAAATGAGTCTTCAGATAAGAAAGCAGTGGTAAAGCCAGTCCCTCCGAGCGAAGGCCCTGCTCAAAACTAGCACCCTCAGTCTGCAAGCGCCTCAGCCGGCGTCGCTCCAGCTGGACTAATGGAGGCTCTCAGCAGAGGCTTGGAAAATGGCTCAGGGCTTGAGAGCTACAGTGTCTGGGCCTTCTCTCTCCGCTAATAATTGAGTCCCTATTTTCCTGGTCTCCAATGCAGGGTAACCACTGTGGTTAGCCACAGTCCTGTGGGAGAAGACGCTTCTCTGCAGCTCTGCCTTAGGTACCCTCTTTTCATTTGCATTCGTTAACACACAGAAGGAAAATGTGGAAAGACCGATGGCTAGTGTGGCGTGGCGGGGGCTGTCTGCTCTGGGACCCGGCTCCCCCTGCGCTGTGTGATCCCCACTGACTCCCCCACACGGGGATTGGCCCAGCCTGGGCAGGGAACAAGGCTCTTCCCAGGGGGGAGACAAAGGGAAGGGGGGTGGAGACGGCACCTGGCTGGGGGCAGGGCCTGGGGGCTGGGCAGTGTCTGGCTGGGAACATGAAGGGAACAGCCTAAGCTGAGTGCTCGGGGTCTAGGGGAGGCAAGGCCCCCCTATCCCAAGGGGGCTGAGGCATCCTGGCCCTCACCTCTGTGCTGGGCTGTACCCTGGAGAAGCAACAACCCCCCCGTTCGACTGGCTGGGGGGCTGTTCTGGCTGCTCCGGGGAACAGCCAGACGCGCAGTCACAGCCAGCTTTTCCGCTCCTCGGGAACGTGCCTATGCAAACTTGGCTACAAGCAATTCCATCCTCTCTTGGAAACAGCTGCAAATGCTGCGCCTGCTGCACAGCCATTCCACCCCCCCGCATGGCGAGGGGTGTGGAGAGGGGAGGCTGGCTGTCAGTGCAGCCCCGACTCACGGCCAGAGCTGCTCTCGAGGGACACGGCGGGAGCAGAGAAAAGACCCCGGCCCATCACCCCTGGCGAGCCCTTTGGGCATTGGTAGCGAGTTCGAGCACCTGTCTCACCAGCGAGACGTGCAGCATGTTACCCACCTTCCCTGCCGACGGGCCCAGCCCCCCTGAGATCTCAATGGCATGTTTATTCATAATAAAGGCGATGACCTCCTGCCAGTCGTATCCCTCGGGCAGTACAAAGGTGGTGATGGTTGGCAGCCGCGCCTCCTGGAAAACAGACGCAGCGTCAGTCCCATGAAGGTCTCCTCTGGGCACGGGCCAACAGCCCTCTGCCCCTCCGGCCGCCTGGACGGGCCCAGCCCCCCTGAGATCTCAATGGCATGTTTATTCATAATAAAGGCGATGACCTCCTGCCAGTCGTATCCCTCGGGCAGTACAAAGGTGGTGATGGTTGGCAGCCGCGCCTCCTGGAAAACAGACGCAGCGTCAGTCCCATGAAGGTCTCCTCTGGGCACGGGCCAACAGCCCTCTGCCCCTCCGGCCGCCTGCTGCACACTCGCCCCTGGACAAGGGTTCCTTCTCTGACAGCATCCGGCTTTTCCGCCCCACCTCGGCTGGGAATCTGCCAGCGGCGAAGCCTCCGCAGGCATGGAGCTGGGTGAGTTCCTCAGCGGGTGCAATCAGCCTAGCTCTGCCGAAGCCAGCGGAGCTGCGCAGACTTACACCAGCCAAGCACCTGGCCTCAGCCAGCCCCCAAACACCCCTTAGCTCAGCCGGATGCCACTTCCTGCCCAGTGTCTGCCCGCGCCCAGGGACCTCAGCCCCGCCCTACCTGCCCAGTGTCTGCCAGCGCCCAGGGACCTCAGCCCCGCCCTCCCTGCCCAGTGTCTGCCCGCGCCCAGGGACCTCAGCCCCGCCCTCCCTGCCCAGTGTCTGCCCGCGCCCAGGGACCTCAGCCCCGCCCTCCCTGCCCAGTGTCTGCCCGCGCCCAGGGACCTCAGCCCCGCCCTCCCTGCCCAGTGTCTGCCCGCGCCCAGGGACCTCAGCCCCGCCCTCCCTGCCCAGTGTCTGCCCGCGCCCAGGGACCTCAGCCCCGCCCTCCCTGCCCAGTGTCTGCCCGCGCCCAGGGACCTCAGCCCCGCCCTCCCTGCCCAGTGTCTGCCCGCGCCCAGGGACCTCAGCCCCGCCCTCCCTGCCCAGTGTCTGCCCGCGCCCAGGGACCTCAGCCCCGCCCTCCCTGCCCAGTGTCTGCCCGCGCCCAGGGACCTCAGCCCCGCCCTCCCTGCCCAGTGTCTGCCCGCGCCCAGGGACCTCAGCCCCGCCCTCCCTGCCCAGTGTCTGCCCGCGCCCAGGGACCTCAGCCCCGCCCTCCCTGCCCAGTGTCTGCCCGCGCCCAGGGACCTCAGCCCCGCCCTCCCTGCCCAGTGTCTGCCCGCGCCCAGGGACCTCAGCCCCGCCCTCCCTGCCCAGTGTCTGCCCGCGCCCAGGGACCTCAGCCCCGCCCTCCCTGCCCAGTGTCTGCCCGCGCCCAGGGACCTCAGCCCCGCCCTCCCTGCCCAGTGTCTGCCCGCGCCCAGGGACCTCAGCCCCGCCCTCCCTGCCCAGTGTCTGCCCGCGCCCAGGGACCTCAGCCCCGCCCTCCCTGCCCAGTGTCTGCCCGCGCCCAGGGACCTCAGCCCCGCCCTCCCTGCCCAGTGTCTGCCCGCGCCCAGGGACCTCAGCCCCGCCCTACCTGCCCAGTGTCTGCCCGCGCCCAGGGACCTCAGCCCCGCCCTCCCTGCCCAGTGTCTGCCCCAATGTCTGCCAGCGCCCAGGGACCTCAGCCCCGCCCTACCTGCTCCTTCACAAAGAGCTGGAGCCCCAGCTGCTGCAGCCCCTCGTACAGGTGGAGACTGGTTTCTTTGTGGAGTTTCCAGGAGTTCTGCAGCCCCTGTGCCAAAGGGGAGAAGAGCAGAGCCATTAGCCAGCAGGATCCTGCCCAGGGCCGGGCGTGTGACAGGCAGACGCACCCCGGGCC